GTCCATCTACCAGCCATTTCAAGCTGGTGATATAGATATAAAGATGACTGAATTACAAAATGATCTAGATGCAATTTACAATTGGTCTGACAAATGGAAATTAAAGTTCAAAGCGAGTAAAAGTGCTGAGTTAAATTTCTTTGACCCTAGGAAAGCAGAATTGCTTACTCCTTCTTTGTCTTTGGGTGGTGACATTATTCCAAAGGTAAATAACCACAAGCATCTTGGTTTAGTTTTTGATAGCCAGCTTACCTTTGAACCACATATTATCGAATCAGCTAATAAAATTGATAAGTTGCTAAACCACTTGAAAAGTATATCAAGAAAATTGGGTGGTAAACATCTGAAGCTTATGTTCAACTCTTATATTCTGCCTCATTTTGATTTATATGATATTTTGTACGGATGTGCAAGCCTAACAACTCTGAAGAGTCTAGATAGGCTTTATTATAAAGCTGCAACAATATGTGCAGGTACAATTGCTGGAACCTCGTCTACTAAACTGTTCCATGTATTGAATTGGCCAACCTTGGAGATTCGTAGAAAGATACATAGACTTACATTTATGTTCAAAGTGCAATGTGGAAATGTACCTCATTATGTTTCAACAATTTTTGACAAATACAAAAAACCAAATATCAGAGATATTCGTAATGTAATACCTTTTCAAGTTCCACTACGTCGCTCAAGAATACGCTCTAGATCTCCCACCTTCTTGTGTATGACTGAGTTCAACGGATTGAGCTCCAAGATTAGAAACTGTGATACAATCAAGACTTTTAAGAATAATATTAGTCAATTGTTCTTAAATAATGATATTATATTGGCATCAGATTTGGGCATTAATAGGGCTGACGAGATATATTTGAATAGAATAAGAGTTGACCTCATATTTAATGCTCACCTTCATGCCCATAACTTTGTCAATGTAAACTCACCTGAATGTATATGTGGTGACAAAAGTGAAACAACAAAACATGTAATATTTTCTTGTCCTATTCGACAACCATTCTACATAAGCTTTGAACAGAAGCTTTTTGATTTACTTCCGAACTACAGGCATTTATGCAAAAATAGACAAGATAAACTTGACTTATTTCTCTTTGGTCACCCATCTCTTTCTCTTAGTAAGAACCATGAAATACTTGCATCCAGTGCTCTGTTTATCAGACAGTGTTTCGAAAGACCCCAGGCAGTTTAAGCCTTTTACCATTTAGGCTTACAATTTTTATTTTTTACCCCTTTATATAAGTATTCTAGATGTGGCTAATAATGCTTTAAGCCCAGCCGCAGGACTATATTGTACTGTTATATTATATAAATGAATAAATAAATAAATATAAAAATAAAAAAAAATCTGAAATTTCCAGGGAGTTTCTACGTATGAAAGTTTAGAACTGATTAGTTTTTGGGCATTCTGGGTAAATGTTAAGGCTGCCATTTTAGATTTTCCATCCTAAAATCTTGTCTATCGAGGCTTGTCTACAGGTTTCCAGCCAAACCGTTCAAATTTTTACATATGTTACACAGTGATAAGTTCTAGAGCTGACTTTTCTGCGGCCATCTTGCTTTCTTGGTCAACAAGACCACAATGCTGTGTTTTAGGTACGATATTGTTCACGTCTGTGCCTTGTTGTGGATGGTGTTTGTAGGTTATTCTTTGGTGTTCAGTGCCTGTAACAAATGGCCGGTTGTGAAATTTTGCCTTCTTTTAATCTCCATAGATGTCCATGCTTATATAAGAACTAGAAATGTTAAAACTGTCAATCTAAAAAATTTTGGCCAATCCCAGTAATGTTTGGATTAGACAGAATCTATTTTCTCTATTTTAATGAAATGTTTACATGTACAGGTTATCCAGGAAGTTAAGTTAAAAATGCTCTAATTTTAAGAGATTTACTTGTTTTGAGACGAAATGGCTACAGATTGTAGAGTAACATTACTTCAATATAGTGTTATACTGTCATTCTAGAGTCTGTTGCATTTCAACTCAAAACAAATACTTCTTAGACACCCTGTATGTCTTGTTTAAGTTTCTTTTCAAACCAGTATTATGTACATACTTAAGGGACATAAGGGACTCATTTAATTTATGTGTACACATATATTACATGAATACATAAAGTGTTTTTTCAACTTCTTTGTTGCAACATGTATATCCGTAAATCTAAGAAGATCAAGGTATGTAAATTAAGATTCATATAGGGTTCCAGGTTGTGTAAAGATGTTGGTCAGATATGACAATAGAGGTAATGGCCTTAAACCATGGCTATAAAAGAAAAGAAAGCCCATCAAATATTCATAAAGGTTGTGTCTTGAGGGCAAGTTCTTTTCTCGGTAAATTATACAAGAATTTTCACTTTGCCCAGGGATTCATTGTAAATAAGGCAATTTCCTTCGAACCATGCTGTAGAAGACATTGTGATGGTTATTATTTCACCCTGGTTAATCTTTGTTTTGCACCATCAATACCCAGGTGAACAGGAAACTTTTATGTCCCATAATGCATCAGTATTGTCTGCAGACGGATCTTCTTTTTGATACATTATTTTTTGTCAGCTCATTTCTGTTCATAGCAATTATTAAAAATTATGCCTACTTCCTTTTAAGATGTTACTATACTCAAATGATCTTGTATCTGTTCATAGCAATTATTAAAACTAATGCCTGCTCTCTTTAAGATGTTGCTATACACAAATGATCTCATGTCTGTTCTCATGACAATACTATCTGGTTCAGGCAGTATTAATGTACATCTTTTTACTTTAACATATTAATGTGAATTAGTCTGTACAAGAATATTTCTTACATTATACTACACTATACTACAATATACAATGGTATGCAAAAGTGACATGTAGATTGCACCCTGGACAGATCGATTATATATGTCTATTTATAGTTTAATGCATAAAAGTTAAAAATTTTCACCATTATAGTGCATACAGAAATTAGTTAACTTACATCATGGGCTTAAGCCCATGGTTAAATGGAACATTATTCTTTAAGACTTATAACATTTTTTGAGCCATCATATCTGAAAAAGGATTTGTAGATTTTTCAGATTTTTTTCAGATCAGTCTGATCAAATTTCATTGTTGATAGACAATTTTGTCATCTTAATGTTTCTGTTTTATTTAACTTTCTCAATTGGAAGTCTCATTTACTGAGTAAAAATATTTCAAGTTCACTTCAAGTATGATATTTACTGAGATGTATTGGATTGTGGGATTGATATATCTCCTGTTTACAAGGTAGTAATCCCTCTGAAGATAATGATGCTAAGGTATTAGTTGAGAACGTGATCAATGAAGATGTTCAGCTAATTCACGACAAGAAGATATTCAATTAACTCATGACAAGCAACATTGTCACTATTTCAGATTGCTAATTCAAAAGAAGAATGTCTTTCTTCGTGTCGTCTTTATGACAATGTTATGGAATGGTTGACTGTTCCAAAGGCTTAACTGTACCAAATGATTTAACCTTTTTGAGTATATTGCAATGACACATTCGATCTCCATCTCCAATGGGCAACCTCAGTTTCTCTAGAAATTTAGAGGAGTGACGAATTTGGTTAAAATTCTATATGTATACTGCCTCTATGGACATATGACCTCTGCTCTATAAGAAATTGCAAGATTGCCACTTGTCTGCAAAATAGCCGCCATTTTAGTAATCAGATTTGGTCTAAATTTTATTGTTTTACGTCTTAAAGACATAGAGTCACATGTAAAGGAGTCTGTACTATTGTCTGGTTATTTTTGTCATGTTATGTTAAAGTGACAAGTGATTTTCCAAGATATGTTTTGCTTGGGAGGATTTTCTTCTTTGGGAGTTGCTGTTTTTCATGTTCATTCTCTCGGTTTTACTCTTTTCCATGTCTGAAACCACAATAATAGAGATAGTGTAGTGTTTTATGGTCAAATATGATTTTATTTATTTTGCTCAGAGAAAATTTATTATATTGACATTGTCATTTTTGCTAGTAGTCCCTGTTCTCTTTGTTCTAGTAAAGATAATTAGCACTTTGTGATATTTTATGGGTAATTTTCACAATAAATAAAACATTTCATAATTCTTCGGTATAATGGTCTATAAGTCACTGAGTGCGGAAGTCTGGGGCGCCTGTTACTGATGAACCTACCCGAGCAATAATTTCACATAAAACGGAGATATTAAGAAATATGGAGAAATTAAAGAGAACAAGCAAGGAAAAAAGTAGACACACAATTCTCGATGCCGTGAAATGCCAAAAAATGATGTGATTCATTCAGTTATCTCATAGTTATTGAGTTAAATGTGATTCTGCTTTAGAATTTTGCAGCGGAATGTTTCATTTGATCCACACAGTTTTGAATAAAAAATAATGATGACGGACTATAAAAGTAGAATGTCGGATAATTAAAGGCTATTTTGTGGCTGTACGTGAGAAACATTTTATAGTTCTGAACATAAAGTTGCTGGAAATGTTTGATGTTTGGTCATTTGAAGGATATATCACTTAATGTAGAAGTCTGCTCTTGCACCTGTTATATACAAAAATGAAACAAAAATATATATCGCTATAGTAACTATTATTTAAGAAAGTTGTATATGATATCTAATGATTAGTATACCTTATGGTTGGTTGGTTGACAGAATTTGTTACTTATAATATAACCAATATTTTACATACAGTAGTTGTAAGCATTTTATGTGTTTGGCTCTGTATGATTAGTGTTGTAATTATGTTGAATAATTATTAACTGCTAAATAGGTGCCTAATTAGTGCTAAATGAACACTAAGTTAGCGTTGAATTACTGAATTCTGATTGGTGGCATACTGATGTAAAACTACATCCTTCTGTATATTTGTATAGGTGTTTATTTTATTTGCAAGTATTTTTTAATTTTGCCAGTTAATGAATATTTTTTGTTATTTAACACCAGCTGATTTTTTATGGAATTAATTGATTTATTTTGTCTCATTTTAAATTTTTCATTCATTTTGCTTTCAGATTCAGAAACATGTGATCGCCCCAGTTTGGCTCACAGACCCAGTTTTCAAGCAGAAGACACGTACGGCATTATGGGAGGGAATTTTCCGCCACTTGAATTGATGTCGTTATTGACGGCAGCTGCCATGCATGATTATGACCATCCTGGGAGAACCAATGCTTTCCTAGTCGCAACATATGCCCCTCAGGTATCTAAATGAATACTTAATAACTACTTGAATCAGAGATTTCATTAGTTGAAGGATACAGGTGATTTTCTCCTGTTACTATCTCACCTAACAAAGTCCAGTAGAGATATAGAGAAGGCAACGGTTTGTTCGTTCATGTGTCTGGGCAATAACTCGAATACCACTTGACAGATTTTGTTCTAATTTCATAGACGTATACCTAAGAACATTGGAGCTCATCTTAAGATGAAATATTCTCAAGGTCACTCAATAACCAAGATGCCATAATAGATAGTTAGCTGTTTCACCACCAGGTGGCTATTTCTGATCAGATAACATGGCAGATATAGTACAAAACAAACAAATGTTTAAAACAAGAAAAAATGTTTCACTTTTTGTGATTTTATGACATAGGGTTTATGGGGAATCTCCCTGAACAAAACCACATTTCTAGAAGTACATTTACATGTAGACTTCAAATATGATATCACTTTGACTAGATTTTGAAAATTTAATGACGTAAATCAAGATTATTTCTACTTGCATTTAGTCTAGTCTATTCAAAATGGCTGTCAAGACTGAGAGAGCTTTGTGGTTAAGTTATCAATCTCTATTTTGGGACAATGAAGGTCACTTTTATCATGTTTAGATGATAATTTTCCCAATTGGATTAATATCGACATTTTCACTTTGGAAATATCAAGTACACTAGAATATATGAATGAACTCATTGACATATAAGTATAGTGTTTTTACAGTGGGGGAATATTTCAAATTACATGTATGGAGTATGGATTTATATAATTACTTTAAATTAACTCAAATAAGATATATTATACAATCATTTTAAGAAAATAATTGAATCACCAGATGTACAAAAGTGACAAAGCAGAGTGCCGATATGTTTGTCTAAGCTCGTTCACGAATGCAAAAAGCAGCCAACGGATTGATTGCAATTTGATGGCAAATTGCGAATACAAGCTAACTCTTGTCATCTGACTTCAAAAAGATCTGCTCTCTTATGATCTTTCATCTAGTACAGTGCTACCATCTATTACAATTCACACCGACCTAAAGTAATATTTAGTCGGCTGATACAGTGCTATATATTAGGAGAACCTATCAGCAACCTAGATTGTCACCTATCATGATGTCAGAAATTTTCTGGCAGCCACTTTGAAATAACATTCATATTTAGATTTGTCTCAACAAATTATATCATAACATGCATTTACATCAAAATATCATTAATACAATGCATGAGGATTGTTAAATATTTTTAATACAAATGCTCTCATTTTCATATTTATCAAAAATCATATCTGGAAAGCCATCACACCAAATATCATCAATGTAATATATTATATGTTTTATTTTTTTATGATATTTTTTCTTATGCAATGATTTGTTTGTTCTTGAGAACCATCATACAAAATACCATAAATGTAATGTACTGTATTTTATAATCTATTTTCTTTTTATTAGGCAATCTTATACAATGATCGATCAGTTTTGGAGAACCATCACGCAGCAGCTGCTTGGAACCTCTTCCTCTCGGATCCCAAGTTCAACTGGTTGTGTCATCTTGAGCCTACAGAATTTAAAAGATTCAGGTTTCTAGTCATAGAGTCCATTCTAGCCACTGACCTCAAGCGCCATTTTGAGATTCTAGCCGAGTTCAATGCAAAGGTATAAGCCTATTACTACTGTAATGTCCGGGGCTAAGGCCGTGGGTGGCAATAATATAAAAGTCAACAGAAAAGTAATATAAAATACGATAAAAACAAATCTATTTCAATTCTTCAAAAATCATGTTCTGTACAGTCTATGTATAAGCAACAACTGAGGCTGGGCCAACACCCAAACTCAAGTGAGTGAATGTTTTCCATATATGGAAGTTACACAATACAAAACAACATTGAACATACACAAAAATATAAAAACTGGTTTGAAAAAAAGATAGCAGGTAAGGCATGGCAAACAAGAGGATTAAAACATGATACAGTAGTAACCTAGGGACCTGTTAAAATGAGAATAAGGAAAATATATAGGACTGATCAATATGAAAAGTGAGAAATATAAAATATGAAAATGGCCATGTTACACTACTATTCACTATTTAGTCTTGTATCAAGCCCATTTTACACCCTTCCCCAATATATAAACAAAAACAGGAAGGTTAGAAGAATAGATTGAAGGGCAGACACTTGATGCAAGACTATTAAGCTATTTAAAAGGTATTTAAAAAGGGATATATAGTCGTTCTCCTCAATTAGAACAATAATACAATGCTTTTGACATTTTCACTAATTTTTCAGTGAAAGTTCATTATCAAAGGTAAACATCATAGGATTTTTAATGGTGTAAAATATTCCCCAAATCATATACAACATGTCTTGAACCATATGTACAGTAATGGTTATATTAATTGTGCTTTACTATATCTGCATACTTCTGACTTTTGGAAAATCAAAATTTTGTTTATACACGTATATGTTGATTGCAATAAAAGTGGCCCACTTGCGTAATATCAAAGGTACTATGTATCGCAGAATAAATGATATTATTGTACCTTAGGTGAATGATGATGATGCCGCAGGTATTGATTGGGTCGTGGAAGCAGACAGAATAATGGTGGCACAAATGGTGATTAAATTAGCAGACATCAATGGCCCTGCCAAGACTAAGATATTACACACATCCTGGACAGATCGAATTACGGACGAGTTTTATGAACAGGTAATGTGAAACGTATAATGCTGCAGCAAAATGTACAGTAAAATAAGAGAACAAGTGAAATGAATTCATCTACATTTGCAAATAAGTAGAGCTAGTGCATTTTACCAAGCATAATATAGTCCTGCCCTTCACCAAATACTGTCAAATTCTGTTATTTGCTAAAAACTGCAGTAATGCCAAATAACTTGCATTTTTCAAATATTTTGGAGTTATGCGCCTTGCCAAATATTGTGTAGTCATGTATTTGGTCAAATATAATGTGGTTATTATATATTTTACTTGATATGTGCTCTTTGATAAATACATATTATCACTCAGCAGAAATACTGTGTATACTAGTGACTCTACTTATAAATAAAATGTTTACATCTAGGGAGATGAAGAAGCTAGTCGCGGGATGCCCATTTCACCATTCATGGACAGGAAACACCCTCAGCTAGCAAAGCTGCAGGAGTCCTTCATCAACCATCTGGTGGGACCCCTGTGTAATGCTATGGCCAACAGTGGTCTACTCCCTGGAACCTGGGTGGAAGAAGAAAATTCTTTGATGCCAGGTAAGTGAGCGTTCACTGCACTTAAAGGACATTTGGATTGTAAATTGCCAAGAACTATGTATTATTACATACTTGTTTCAAGCTTGTCCCATCCCCTATTTCCATCCCCTTTTGAATGTGTTAATATAAATGGGGCATGGGGTAAACAATGGCTTGATTCAAAGTTACTGTATATCACAGATGATGAAACAGTGAAACACCAGGTTAGATATTCTTTTAGAAAAGTGTAAAATTTGCACAGATGAATGGATTATGTGGCATTTCTAGAAATCCTAAATTATGGAGATTTAACACGTGCCACATAGAGTCATAATTCTGGCATCTGCGGTATGAATTAATTAATTTTTTGTATGGTGTACACAAAGGCTTAATGTCTACATGTATGTATGTAATGTTACCTGTTCAGTCCAGTAAATGCATTGATTTGTGAATAAGCTCTCTGTTTTGCTTAAATCTAGAAATGTATTTAACATTGATACGACTTTTGTCAATACTATTTTATTTTATGTGTCATAATATTACATATCTTATTGTTATTGCAATTGATAATGCTACTGTGTGTGTCATTGTCGTTACAATGTTTCAATGCTATTACATGTGTCATTGTCATTACATGTGTCATGATTTTACATGTATCTTAATATTACAAATGTCATTATTATTGTATATGTCAATGCTATTACATGTGACATGATTTTACATGTATCTTAATATTACAAGTGTCATTATTATTGTATATGTCAATGCTATTACATGTGACATGATTTTACATGTATCTTAATATTACAAGTGTCATTATTATTGTATATGTCAATGCTATTACATGTGACATGATTTTACATGTATCTTAATATTACAAGTGTCATTATTATTGTATATGTCAATGCTATTACATGTGACATGATTTTACATGTATCTTAATATTACAAATGTCATTATTATTGTATATGTCAATGCTATTACATGTGACATGATTTTACATGTATCTTAATATTACAAATGTCATTATTATTGTATATGTCAATGCTATTACATGTGACATGATTTTACATGTATCTTAATATTACAAGTGTCATTATTATTGTATATGTCAATGCTATTACATGTGACATGATTTTACATGTACTGGTATTTTGATATTATGTTCATGTGTCATTATATTATAGAACATGGATCATTGTTGTTATTACATTTGTCATTGTCATGTCTTATTGTTTTTACACATGTCATTGTTATTTCTACTTTTAGGAGATGGTATGAAGGATGAGAAAGAGTCAGATGATGAAGATGAGGAAAATGAAGAAGAAGAAGAAGATGAAGACGATGAAGATGAGGATGATGATGATGAGTCAGTAGATAGAGGTGAGGAAATACTTGTGTCTATTTTTACAGGCACAAGCAGATGCCTTGATATTGTAAGGATGTATGAGAGGAAATGAGTGTATCAGCAGAGGAACAAAACATAATTCTCAAATACTAGTACAATAATTTATGAAAAGGCCTCGTTTGTATTACCTCTTCTGAAGTAAACAATGAAAATGTCTTTGTTTTACCACACATATACTGTACATATTTACCACACATATTTAATGTTGATGAAATTTTTTAAAACATATTAAAATTAATTAAAATTCGAATCCCAGGTATTTTATAAACTGACCAACAATTACCCCAAAGAAATTATTCCATTACTCCTATATTTGTGATTCATCAAATATATCTTAATTCCATAGTTTCCATGTTGCCAGTAAAAGCAGTTGCAGCCAAGAAAGTACATTGCATACTGACCAAGAACATCAAGGAGAACCTGGACATGTGGCATGCAAGACTCCTAGAGGAGGAACAACAGAAGAAAGAAGCAGAAGCTGCTGCACAAGCTGAGGTAACATAGCTTTTTGGCCAACATTGAGCCTATGGGATCAGATAGACATCTGTGCATCTGTTGCTCCATCTGTCCTATTTGTGAATACATCCAACATATTGTTATGGTCTTCAACTGTTTTGTGGACGGTGTTCAGCATTCAGTGCATTAGACACATTCTCTTTGTGGCACTCTCTTTAGCTAAATCTTTGTTAATCAGAGGGTGTAAGCAAAGTGCCAAAAGGGAAAGGGCGAATGAGTGAATCAAAATGCAGCAAAAAGTAGGAACATCTAAAAGCACAACCGGTCTTGAGAAAAACAATCCTTGATATCCTGAAATTTGATCCAACACACAATGAAACAATATCTAACACCCCTCCCCAATTTGCCCCAACCATTCAGAAATACAATGCCTAACACCTTCATCCCCTCAACACCATCCAGGAATACAATAAGATTGTCTGATTTCAGGCTGGTGAATGTGAAATTACCCCATCATCTGATATGACACCTATAAAGGAGGAAGAAATCAAAGATACAAAACCAGATGATTGTGACACAACAACAACCAATGATTGTGACAGAACAGCCAATGATTGTGACACAACAATCGATGATTGTGACACATCAGCCAATGATTGTAACACAGCAACCATTGACATAGGTTTTTCATTAGAGCACAAAACTCCATCATTTGAGAGTAAGGAGTCATCGATAGAGAGTAGAGGTTCTTCAATAGAGAGTCAAGAGTCCTCAGTGTCATTAGAGAGTAAAACTTCCTCAACTGACAATGATGATGCTTTTCTTCCTCATGATACAAAAATGCCTTCATTTTCCAAAACATTGGGGGGCACAGGTAATGAGGAAGATGATTTAAAATTGAAAGAGAGATCAAAAGCCTCTTTGGAGGGTGAACAGTTATTAAAAGACAGAAATGAAGCAACAATTGTGGAGAAAGAATCCATAAATGTGAATAAGGAGTCTCTAGAAAGTAAAAAAACTTCAAAAGACACATGTACACATAAAATTGACAGTACTGAATCTTTGGAATTGAGTGTTGAATCTAAAAGATCTTCTAAAGAAACTGAGGATATTAGGTTAAAATCTCTAAGTGTGGCGCCTGAACATAAACCATTAAATCCAACTCATGCGTCTTCATCCCCTGTATTGGACACAGAAGTGACCAAATCATCATTAAAATCATCATTAAAATCATCATTAAAGTCATCATTAGAGCCAAGACAATCATCTGGCAGTCAACAAAGTGCTGATGTTCAGAGACATATAACAAAAGTAGCTGTGGATAGGGAATTGAAAGAAATGACTACCTGAGACTGGACAGTTGTTGTTTAATTGTATATATTGAATCTATTTCGAATCTGTTTCATTGGTTGTGTATCTAAGTCAGATAAATCACTTGGTGTACAAGTAGGATATATACCCTTGAAGATGGTCTTATAGCGATCATTTTCCAAAGGAGAACGTTTTTGTAAGGGAGGGCAGTTGCAGTTAGCTAAATGTGGCTACATACAGTATGTGATTGTAGAAATCACAAGTTATGTGTTAACATATGACTACGGAAGTGACTACATGATGTAACTACTTGTACATATGTGACTACAACAGTGGTTCCATGGTGTGAATACATGTATGGTATCATATGTGACTACGTAAATGGCTACATGATATAACTACATATGTGACTACAACAGTGGTTCCATGGTGTGAATACATGTATGGTATCATATGTGACTACGGAAGTGACTACATGATGTAACTACTTGTACATATGTGACTACAACAGTGGTTCCATGGTGTGAATACATGTATGGTATCATATGTGACTACGTAAATGGCTACATGATATAACTACATATGTGACTACAACAGTGGTTCCATGGTGTGAATACATGTATGGTATCATATGTGACTACGTAAATGGCTACATGATATAACTACATATGTGACTACAACAGTGGTTCCATGGTGTGAATACATGTATGGTATCATATGTGACTACGTAAATGGCTACATGATATAACTACATATGTGACTACAACAGTGGTTCCATGGTGTGAATACATGTATGGTATCATATGTGACTACGTAAATGGCTACATGATATAACTACGTATGTGACTACAACAGTGGTTCCATGGTGTGGATACATGTATGGTATCATATGTGACTACGTAAATGGCTACATGATATAACTACATATGTGACTACAACAGTGGTTCCATGGTGTGAATACATGTATGGTATCATATGTGACTACGTAAATGGCTACATGATATAACTACGTATGTGACTACAACAGTGGTTCCATGGTGTGGATACATGTATGGTATCATATGTGACTACGTAAATGGCTACATGATATAACTACATATGTGACTACAACAGTGGTTCCATGGTGTGAATACATGTATGGTATCATATGTGACTACGTAAATGGCTACATGATATAACTACATATGTGACTACAACAGTGGTTCCATGGTGTGAATACATGTATGGTATCATATGTGACTACGTAAATGGCTACATGATATAACTACATATGTGACTACAACAGTGGTTCCATGGTGTGAATACATGTATGGTATCATATGTGACTACGTAAATGGCTACATGATATAACTACGTATGTGACTACAACAGTGGTTCCATGGTGTGGATACATGTATGGTATCATATGTGACTACGTAAATGGCTACATGATATAACTACATATGTGACTACAACAGTGGTTCCATGGTGTGAATACATGTATGGTATCATATGTGACTACGTAAATGGCTACATGATATAACTACGTATGTGACTACAACAGTGGTTCCATGGTGTGGATACATGTATGGTATCATATGTGACTACGTAAATGGCTACATGATATAACTACATATGTGACTACAACAGTGGTTCCATGGTGTGAATACATGTATGGTATCATATGTGACTACGTAAATGGCTACACGATATAACTACGTATGTGACTACAACAGTGGTTCCATGGTGTGAATACATGTATGGTATCATATGTGACTACGTAAATGGCTACATGATGTGACTACATATGTGCTTACATAAATAGTTACACATTGAGAATTCTGTAGATGAAAGATACCAAGAATAAGATGTGTCGCAAGAATTAGTTGCCACATTTGGCATTGTGCCTGATATCAATGCAAACAAAGAGTGTATTGTATATAGAAAGTACCAATTGAACATAAAATGCATGTGCAATTCCATGTTAAAGAATAATTCATATGACCCCATCAAAGTGGTCATTTTAGGCAATTTTCTCAAAAAGCAATTGGAAATATGTCTGGAGAGAGCATTGATAAATCCATATTTGGCCAAATGTAGTGTGCCATCTCTGATCTGCTTTCACAACGTGAATTTTCATGGTGGAGTCAAATACCATCTTTGGGTCTAAAATCAGTATTTTATATTTTCTCCCAGTGTCTGAAAGCTACTTGGTACATATGCATACATATGAGCAAAGACCATTTTGTGAAAAACAATACATTTTGGGTCATTCATGATTTTATAAATGCCCATCTCCAGAACAATTACCATAAATGTTATCATCATGGACATGTCATCCCTTATCCCATATTGTTGAAAAAGCACTAAAACCAGCAGAAATCCAGTTCATTTGTTCAAGACGCACATTCAACTGCCATCAGCATGTATTTTATTTGCCATACTTATTTATCTCCATGTACAGTGTATATACTGTACTGTCACTGTACCTCAATGTTTTAGTGAATGGTGTTTGAATTAAGTGTAACTACATACTGTTAATATACTCTCAAAATCCTGTATTTCTGTTTTTTATTGAAATATGTAGATGCGAAGGAGATAGTCGTTACTTAGATGGCTCAGTTTGCACAGGAGGTATGGCTATCCCAGTTGTCCTCTGGATGTGATATTTTCAAGTTGTAAAGAATGATGGTCAGTGTCCAGAAACAGTGTCTCATTCATCCATTGTGTGTGGCAATATACAAGAGATAGTCTCCCTTTATTATCTGATCATTTATATGACACGCCTAAAACAGGGAGCTATCACTCATACCTCATTTTGAAAATCAAAAGAAAGCCAAAGGATGACATGAGAAAAATTCAGTCTGAAAACTGCTAAATTTAGCATGTGATATACATGTAAATTATTCGATGTAAGTGATATTGATTGAACATTTTAGCTAAATGTTAAACAATTTTTGACAATATTGATAAATTTTTTAGTTACTGTAGATATCCATTGAAATATGAACTGATGAGATTGCTCCTATTTATAGCCTAGTACAATGCTTAAATTAAATCTGAGCAAAATTTAGTTTCACCAAGGTGGTCATATTTGAGACTTTACAGACAGATTTTTGGGAATATAATAGAGATGAAAAGAGACTGTTGTTATTATATTAATATGAATGATATTTATAGAGTATTTATATATGTGTGGGTGTTATGTATACTGTTTGTTACTATGGTAACTGTCTCATTGTTACTTTGACAACCATTCTCAAAACATTTGTAAATGTTGTTGATTTTTGGATTCAGCAGTCATGTATGCAGGAACAAAGATTCTGACCATTTGCATGCAATGAACAAATACAATATTATGGGGTCTTTCGGTGATAATTTAGATTTCTAGGAGTTATGCATTTTCCTTGTGGGTAAAAAATGAACAAAGGTGATACATATTCATTATTTTGCAAAATAAATTGATAAATAATAATGTGTGACATCAATAAATCTGTGATCAAGATATTTGTACATAATTGAATGATAGAAAATGATACAGTTGAGTCTTGTTGGTGTATAATTTTTGGTACATGTATAATTTTTTAGTCAGGCCGGCACATTTTATTTGAGTGATACCAAATGATTTGATGTGCTCACATACCTATGGTTACGTAATAGATTGAATCTAGATAGGATTGTCAAAATTGAAAATCTATATTTTAGTTGCATTAAATCTTAATGTTTAATTAACAAAACCAGAATTGTGAAATCATGTCACTTCAAATTATGCTTGTTTAAAATTCAGTAGGTTATGAAACCCCTGTAAGAAGTGTAACCTTTTAAGAAAAACTGTTGGAGGACATTGTTAAAGAACTGTACCCTTTTAAGTAAAACTGTGGGAGGACATTGTTATAACTCAGGTATTATTACACCCTATTTGACACCCCCTTGTTTTGTCAGTTAATGACACTATGTATGCTGTATATTATGTATGAAACCATATGATATTGGCAAGGATTCTCCCTCATGTTGTTCACTCGTTGTCATGGTAATCATGCTTTGAATTTAACAGACAGCCTTGGGATACATTATTTCTTAGAACTGAAAGTCCATAAACTACAGTAAAACTTGTGTATATTGAACATTTTCTGTTGAGAAAAAATGTTCAGTGTTGGTAGGTGTTCACTACATGGACCACAGTTGAGTTTTGCAGAGAAAGGTTGTCCGCGAGAGACATGTGTTCACTAGAAAGAGGTGTTCACTTAGACAGGTTTTACTGTAATTGTTATTTTCTATCAGGAAGATTGCATATTAAACATTTTCTACCTGATTGATTAAAAATATGAAATTATAAGGAGTAATTTGAAATAGTCGTACACTTGTTAAAATTCAAATACAAATGGTGCCAAGTCTATGTTGTTCTTTACAAATGAAGCCAGGCAGAAAGAATGAGTAAACTGTTATTAATATGGACCTTTCACAGTTCTAAATTTGTACATCTGGTCCTACCTTAAAGTTTTCGTGTTATCCTTGCAAATTCCTCTATGTTATCTATTATCTATCTAAGTGTGATCTCCATGACAATATTGAGAAAGGGTGTCAAAATTAATGTACATATTGTATGGCAATTGTTTTCTATGTTTTGATAATACTTAGAACTAGGTACTGTATGCTAATAAGTTTAAATTGTGTTCTAAGGTGTAAACAAAGATTTCAGCAATATATTGAATTTAACTTAATAAAACCCATTGATTCTAGTTGGTTGGTTATTAAAACAAGTGTGATTATGCATAAGTTATCGTACAAGGAATATCCCCAAGTCTGATTTTTTGACAATGTACAGTCAGTGCCAAGACACTGTTGCATGCCTTTTACCAGACAACTGCTTGTGCCTCTTTTTGCCAAATACACTCATTGCAAATTCAATGGTGAATCAATTATGTATAATTAGTAAAAGCTAACACCCGTGTCAGCATCACTGGCTTACCTGTAAACCTGTAAAAAATCAGATGTAGACACATTTGTGATAAGAAGGGATATGTTCAGCCTAAACTGGCTTCACTTAAAAATATCTGATAGGTTTCAGAGAGTAATATGAAAGTGCAGAATAATTTTAGTTAATCAATCAATCAATTTTTGTTAATCAAGATAATTGTACCTAATTGAATGATACAACGTGATCCAGTTTAAACCAATTATGTCACCACCAGAAGTGGTGACATATTGTTATATTTTACCATGTGGTGACATAATGTCATGCTTATGCCTTGTTTTAAACCTTTCAAGGGTCAATTTAAATTGCACAATGATGAATAATGTATACCAATGAATGTTATAACCTGACTTATTATAAATAATCAATTGGGCATGGCCAAAATGTTTTGAGAAAGCATTGCCAACTTGTACAGTATATTATTAAGGTTTGTGATGGCATTTTTGAACACTGCCATTGTTTATTGTTTTGTCATGAACTTGGAAATTAAATAAAAGCTGAAGATAGAAACCACTGTTATTGAGTCATTTGTATTTATCTACTACTATAAGATAGAAAACCACTGTTATTGAGTCATTTGTATTTATCTACTACTATAAGATAGAAAACCACTGTTATTGAGTCATTTGTATTTATCTACTACTAATACTTGTCATACTGTTATTCCACAGAATGATGCTTGATAGATATATGGTGTAGATGAATTTCTGCCCGTCCATTTGTCTTGTTTGTTTATTTGGACAAAATTGCTCAATCCAAAAGGCTTCAAAATTAAGAGAAATGATCTTTTCTGTCTAGATTTGCTCCTTTTTTGCGTCACCATTTATGAGAATATTTTCTTTAGTATCACTGAGTATGATTATGCAAAATAAACAACTTGAGTTCCTGTAGCAATATTCGGGAACTAAAATCATCTCTTGATGTGATCGACCACGTAAAACAAGTAGAATATTGGACTTTAGCCCAACAAATTAGATGCGAATGAGGAAAATATCAGTATCTTCAATATCTGGTCCACATCATTTGAGACTGAATGTTATAATTTATATGAATGCTTAACTACAACTACTTATGATGTTATGAGTATTGTTTTACAAAGTTTTTCACACTTAGAGGTGTAACATCTAGTTTCTTACTGAAATATTGAAGTAATTTTTCAAATACAAGAATTCGTATAGTTTGTTCCACCTTATAGCACACTACCCTACCACGTGACCACCGGGTGTGGATAAACCAGAAAAAATAATTAACAAAGCAATTGCAAATATTATGTCTCAAGTTTTTATTTCAAAGCTAAAATTGCAGTCCTATTGTTGATTCTAATGTGTCATTAAGAAAACCTTCCTCAAGAAATTTCTTCCGACTCCGAGGTTGGAACATCTTACATATTAAAATATTTCTTTGGAGTACGTTCTTGTGTTCGAGGAATGCGTTCCCGTGTTAGAGGACTACGTTCCTTTGTTAGAGGAATACGTCCCTGTGTTAGAGGATTGCGTTCTGGTGTCAGAGGAATACGTCCCTGTGCTAGAGGATTGCTTTCTGCTGTCAGAGGAGTACGTCCCTGTGTTAGAGAAATACGTCCCTGTGTTAGAGGATTGCGTTCCGGTGTCAGAGGAATACGTTCCTGTGTTAGAGGAATACTAATACGCTCCATAAGTTTATCAACGAAGAAAGATCGTCGTCTAACAAAGAAACATTTCCTGTAAGCATTCCAACGTACTGGATCGGGGACTCTGCTCCTTGCAAAATACAGATTTCCTGAAGCACGGTTCCATGGAATGATGAATGCTTCGTTTGAGACAATTCCTAAAATGAAATAATAACTAATAATTATGCATGAATGCTGAATTTTTGAATTATTAATACTTAGGCTATATCTAGGGCATCTAGATGAAATATACTTATTTGAAGGGTGTCCAAGAAGATAAACAAGTATGCAGAGAAGTTTTATGAAGATGTCAAAAAGTTCCAAGAAAATACAAATTCTGAATACCATGTTATGTTTGTTTTGAAAAAACAGAATTCACAAACCCTATAGGCCTTTTTCTGTGGTGAAGTTTCTGCAAGTCTGTGAGTTTGTTCTTTAATATGGGGTCTCCAAAAAAGTATTTCAAGAAATTCCGAAGTCTGGAACTTACCCATGACACCAGTAGCAGATCGACTAACTTCCTCTTGTCCAACTGACACGCTGAAGTCAATGTTCTTATGAGTGCCCCTATAAACCTTTAGTTCAATATTTTCATACTTTATGGTCCACCCCTCTAAATGGTCTTCCACTATTCCACCAGAGACACTAAAGTTTCCTTCGATCACCTCAGCGCCATCTGCATTTACTTTGAGGACGCTTGGCCCAGGGATCGACATGGTGAGAGAATCCACATGGATGGCAAGTTTTTGTCTGCGATACTTACTCGAACGATATCTCCCTCTTCGAGCTAATTTTGCAAACGTTGCATTTATTTCTGGAAGTAAAAAAATTGAACTCATAGGTATAAAAACTCGATATTCTGTCTGGACATTCATGGAGCATTTTTATGATGGTCTCAGTACATTTATATGTACAGAACAACATATAGAGGCATAACATTTTGACAGATGCATTAGAACTATAAAACAAGGCATAAACATGCAACATATCTCCAGCTGTCATTTATTATGTAGACGCCGAACACCAAACGCCAAACCCCGAACACCGTCCACAAAAAGTTGGAGACTATGTCTATAACAATATGTCACGACTTCTGGTGAGGATATAACAAAACATTTCAAGTCCATGTGAACACTACTTCTTAAAAATGTTACAAGTCTTATTTGTTGCCATGGTAACAGATATTGGCAGAAATATTTTGGAACATGTTTATATATAATGTTACAGTAAAAATTTGAAGTCAGTCCAAACAGAATGTGTTACAGACGCCGAACGGCGGCCGCCAAACACCACACACAAAAAAGAAAATATAACAATATATTATCACTTTTGGTGATTACATAATACTATATCAGAACTTTTTTCAGATAATTTTTCTCGTATGATTTAAGTGACAACTCACCAACACCATTCATGTTCAGATACGTAAAGGAAGTCCCAGCTTGGCCATACACATCAAAACAAAGATCTTTTCTCCCACCAGTAGACATTGGTACTTTAACTCGAACATGGGGATCGCCTAGAAACATTTTAAAATAAATTTGTACTTTTATTGCAAATCAGGTACTCGTATTTAATGTATAAAGTGTTGGTGGTTACTGGTATAAAATATAATCGACAGACATAAATGAACATTCAAAACTATATGTTCTGTTTATGAAGTTTTGTGGCCATTCGTTCACTTGGATTTACATCTCTAAATGACTACTTTTCATTGACATGCTGATAGACCATCGATTAATTGAGTGTCTTGCTCAGATGAAAATAACAAAAACTATGTGCTTAAAATAGCTATGACGTCTCCACAATTTTTAATAGAAATGATTCCCAACCAAAACCGTAAAAATTATAATCCATTGAAGTGTATTTATTTCTTCGTAAGTTTAAGTTTTGCCTTGTCTATTTAGACTCAACTTATCATGGAGCTGGCTTCGTCCCTGAAAATGGTTACTTTTTTATTTTTATGAGATGGTTTTTAAAGGAAACATTATCATACCACAAACTGTGAACGGCACCTTGTCGGATGGGTTCCTACATTCTAAGTTCCCACAATCCCCTGTATCCCTACACTGTCCACACACCCCTTCGATACAAAATGGTAGACCCGTATTACAATCTTCATCTCCAGAACACGCCATGTGTGAGAGTGGGTCTTGCTCATTTCCAAGACCAGGAGGGGGTGGCGGACGCTGATCACCTAAAATACCATTACATAGATATACGACAAATTAACGTCATCAGAAATTCAAAAGTATGGTTTGGAACCTCATTGACACGGCTATCAGTGTTTCCGTCTTATAAGCAGTAGTTACATTATTACATTCATTATTGCGATTTTGACGATTTTTGCTCACTTTAAATTCAGATAGTCATAAAATACTATATACGAGTATTTCACTGATGATATGTAAATTCCTTCTTCATGATATGTTTGCTTTTGAATAATTCTGACAAAAACCATGGCAACGTGTTACTTTCAGGGACAATAAACTAAACAGGATTACTACCATCTGCCTAGAGATATATTCGCAACATTTACATATCAATATAAATTGATTAAGATGTCATTGATTTCACAAGAATAAGTCTTGGTATTGCTTGATAATATACTTATCATAATTCAGTAAAAATGACGTGTTTAGGTGTCTCGAAGTCAGAAAGAATATTTGCTACATTTTCTTGTAGTAAATCCGTGGACTTCTGAATAGAAAATAATAATTAAGTCATCATCATTTGTCGTTTTTTATTCGTCATGGTTTCCTTGTAATAAGGTCCTTATTTTGAATATACTTTCAACAAATAGCCCCTGGCCGGGTATATAACCTACAGCTTTTTATGTTTTTGTTCGCAGTGACTCAGAAACATGACCTTATACTATAGTCCAATTATACAACTTTAGTTAAAATCATATAAACAAATCTTACCTTCTACAACTGAACATAGAAGAAGAGCTGGAAATAAATAATATTCTTGTGCATTACAAAATTAAAAACTAACCAGAACTGATCATATTGATTAGACAAACTCTTTCAGAAGAATGATTTAGTAAAGAAAGTGGAAACATGTATATCACAAAATAGAACAAACATAAATTCTAAAAACTGTCATATAATATTCCATGAAAAAACATGCAATAAAAACGTTTTATTTACTTCGGAAGTACTCACCATTGATAGCCGAAAATACCAATAAAAACTTAAAACTTCGAAATGCGTCCATCTTTCAACTAGACTACTGCGTTTGACCGCATAGAAGATTTTAATTTGATATCATAAAATTACATTACTGACTGAAAAGAGATCTTGATAAGTTAATTGAAATTAAAATTTGTCTTTTGAAAACTATTGGTTTTTCAAGCATAGATGAAAGACTTTACAGTCGGTTGTTTTTCTCAAGATAGTGCATGGAAAATATTTATTCAACGGTTTCAATTGATTACTGCTACTACTTGTACATATCATATTATTTCACATTTTAATCAGAATCACGTTCCTATACGTGAAGCAATCTATATTGTTTGTTTGTATCTTGGATTGCTTGTTGTCTGGCTAATGAAATACGTGGACTCTTGTATTTGATCTTCTCTGACATGTTATTTAATGTCATGTCATGTCTGAAATTCTCTTAATTACCAGAGGCAACTGGTTAATTGCACATAAAACTTAGTGTTGTATCTAAAATTTCAAAGCATTTCCATATAATATTCCACTGCTGTCCTTTGATTCCTTATTTTCAAAAATGGGTTGTGTCCTCCACGTCCACGCGGTGCCAACTACGACCGTTAATTTGAATTTTAGACCTACCGGGTGTTTAAAAATCAAGGATTGTGAGTCTCATACTGCATCGTAGTATTGTTCCATTAAAAGCAAAACAGAAATGCCTTTCTGGTGGTACTATCATACTGTTACACTCCCCTCCATAAGTTTGGCAACCTTTTTCCCCCATTGAACTACGTGTTAAAGCCTCTTTACCTTTGAATTTTTATTTACTTAACCTGCGATGAAAATACTTATACTATTGATGGAAACGTAATTTGACTTTAATTCCAAGACCTCCAAATTTTCTCAATTTTTTTCCTCAATTACAATAGGTCGAAAATTGATGATGAATTTGATGAATTTTTGAAAATCGACATTCCCATGTTAACCAATGGGAAATGGTAGGTTTGCCGCAAGTCATATGACAGAATATCCATCCGTCTGAGTCCTTGCAAAAAATACGAGTTAGGCAGGTAATTGAATTTGCTAACTTTACTTAGCAAAAAATTGATATGTTTCTTCAGGTTCAACAAAGTTATAGGGCTTTAAGGTCAAAATTGTTTTTCAAAAAACCTCTCCCATTGAAATAACACAGGAGGCGAAAAATAATTTTCAAAAACGACTTTGTAGCGCTGTAACTTTAACATTCATCAAATAAACTAAACACTTAGTGTTCAAAAAAGTTAGACAATTCAATTTTCTATATGGAAATATTTTTTGCTGAATCTTTTACTGAAAAGATATCCTGATTTCTGATTTGCCCTGAACCCTCCATTTCCCACTGGATTACATGAGAATGACGATTTTCAAAAATTCATCAAATTTATCATCAATTTTCGACCTATTGTAATTGAGGAAAAAAATTGAGAAAATTTGGAGGTATTGGAAATAAAGTCAAGTTATGTTTCCATCAATATCATAAGTTATTTCATCCCCGGTTAAGTAAATAAAAATTCAAACGTAAAGATACTTTAACACGTAGTTCAATGGAGAAAAAAGGTTGCCAAACTTATGGTGGGGAGTGTATATAGAGTTCCTCCTTTTAGCGGCGTTTGGGTCCCCCGCTGTGAATAGGGCTTCTAACAGCTGGAGACCAAACCCTGCTAAAACGAGGGACTCTATACAATAAAGCAGTGCACCGACAGAAAAGCATTTTTGTTTTCCTTTGAATGGATTGAAGAAAAACGGCGCAGTGTGAGACTCACAATCCTTGCTTTTCAAACACCTGGTGGAATAACGGTCGTAGTTGGCAACCCGTGACATTTAGGATTGGGGGTGTAGGGAATTAAATAATGTATTATCTCTGAAACTGATCTACAGTTTTTTTTAAATTTACACACTGGTAAGTTTAATAATTAAATTTAATTTTAGAAAATACATATCATAGGCCATATTGCTCTTGGAAAAATACAAGTTTTCAATTTTTGTCAAAGTAAATATATTACTGGGTATAATTCATCATATTATGTATCAATATAAAGTATAAAAATCATTTTTCCAAAGTGTATTTTCATGTTTAAATTCTAACTAGAAATATCGATTTTGCTATCACCGTGTAAATAGAACAGCAGTAAACACAGAGCAAGCTATAACATTTGAATCGATATCTGTCGCTTAAAACTAGTACACTGTTTGTCTATCATTTGACGATATTTGAAATAGAAAGTTCTCATTGGCTAAACCAGAGTTGGTACAGTCGACTTTCATGTGTGAGTTCTGGGGTTGTACGAGTTGACATCGTCAGATGACCATAGAGGGTAGGAATGAATAATATGAGTGTGATTTTGGGAACGAGTGAACCTTTGGCAAGTGGATCACGGCTGATCGGTCTTGGATATTTGGCACATGATAAACTGGAGTATAAAAGGTACGCCTTTGATAAGTAGTAGTTAGAGACTTATATTATATTATATACTTGATACTGCGATATGTAGAACGTTAGTTAGCTCGTGATTTGGGAAGCTGGGTCTACATAAGCTCCTATTCATCGGCCGGTGTACGTGTCCCCAGTGGTCATTCGAAAGCTAGTTTTTAGGCCAGGGTGCATGTTCGGAATTTTTCTGTATTCCTCAATTGAGTCACATGTTATTTTTCAAAAGGAATCACTCCTTCCCCACATTGTCTACATCTTCCAGGTTTGCACAAAGAGTGCACTTATGTGCCTAGAAAAGCCTTGTGAGAAGATTTGTTTTGTAAATTGTATAAAAACGAGAAAATTCAGTGAAAAATATTTCTGAATTTTTTCCACTGAATATTCTTGTTTTTTATTCATTTTATCAAAACATTGTGGGGAAAGGAGTGATTCATATTTGAAAAATAACATGTGACCCTATTGAGGGTTGCAGCAAAGTTCCGAACATGCACCCTGACCTTAAGCTTTTTTTCCGTTTGAGACTATTTAGGGGACACTTCAACCCATCATTTGGTTACAGTTGGTAACCTGATCCCTTTCTGTCGACATCTTGTATGGACCTGGCCAGGATGCAGTCCTCTTACCGCCTTTTCTATCTGCCCGTCTCATGTTCTTTTTCAGAACCAAGGTACCAACTTCCAAATTCTGGTAGAATAATATACATTATTAGATCAATACATTGACAAAAAGTTTAAAACAAGTATGTTATTTTGTTAACCATGTATACAAATTCTTGCAGTAAACTAAATATCAGTTTTATCGATTGAAGTAGTATTTAATACCTTTTGTGGATTTATTTTCCTATCATAGTTTCTCTTTTGTCGGTCCTGTACTCTCGATATATTTTGAAGGGCCTTCACAGCCATGATGGTTTTTAAACGTTTGTGTTGATTAACCGTTGCTGCTCCATCCTCAGATAAATCAGCAACCTCTTCACTCGATGAGCCCCCACGCTTGAATTCTTCTGGGATGACAGCTTCTCTATTTTAAATAATTAATCATAAACATGATCTACTGAAATAATTACGCCAAGCTTTATTCTGAATATTAACATTTTAGTCAAGTAGGACTCTACCACGCCTACTGTCGGTTTCATGGTAAAAATAGCAAGAACTTAACTTCGACATATAAGTGTTACCTGATGAATGGGACCCTCACGTGCCTTCCCAATGGTAGCTAACGAACCCTAGTGTAACTACATCAGCTTATCTTTCCGTCCGATCAACAATAAGTACAGTTATACAAGAAATGTAAACGAAGTGAAAATATTCCAAAAAGATTTCCTAAAGGCATGTCATCTCCGGAAGTTATGATACGTTATATTACCGAACATGCGTGAAATGTGAACATCCAAGCATCGGGTATGACTCCACCATTGTTTTGTCGTTTTACTACTTGGCACAATCAACCTCACTGCCAGCATATCAAATAAGGCCCGTTTCCCATGAAACTTGGCCCAACTACTATCAGGCAGATGTCCTTGAAAAATCAAGTTGACATAGTTACCCAAGCCTAATAGTTGCCATGGCAACCATAGAAATGGGCTAAAAATGAGGGCAAAAAAGCACCCAAACCAACCATAATGGCACTAATTTATAAAATATTTCTAGATATACAAATTTTCTTAAACTTTGATATCATCTGGAACACTTCTAGACAACAAAAATGTTAAAAAATGGGGGGAGGTTTACCACTTCAATTTTTTTCTAGGCTTGGTCAAAGTAAAACTACGAAAAGGCAATAATTTTTACTTTTGAATCACCTATTATCGCCAAAATGGCTATATTTTTCAAGGTCAAGGTCGCCATGCTAAAAGTTGAATTACGGAGATAAATCTGCTCTTCAGACAATGTTTGATAGCTTTTCTTCACCACGAGACACATCATCATTATCATCAAATTCTGAGCTGATTGGTCTTGAAAAGTCCTGTAGTTGCTCAGATCTTAATTTAAATGTATGCAATAGATATTAAACTATATCATAGTGATAATTTAGCCAAAGTTTGTCTAGTCTCCCTTTAAACTGATCTACACTATGGGCGGTCACTACCTTCTCTGAGTGGCTGTTCCAGTCTTCTATAATTCAGTTGCTAAAGGTGTCCTGTCGAAGGGTGGTGTTACAGTGGTGTTTGTACATTTTCAGGGAGTGCCCTCTAGTGGTTGTGGTGGCCTTGGTAAAAAATGAGCTATGCTCTTTAGTGTCAATTCCATTAATAATTTTATAAACCTGTCTCCTCGTCTACGTCTGTAGTAGAGGGAATGGAGCTTTAGCTCTTTAAGCCTCGTTTGATATGGCTTATTCTTCAAATCTGGTATTATTTGGTAGCTCTTCTCTGTATCTGTTCTATTTTCACTCCTCTTCTAAGAGTCTTGGGTGCCATATAATGTTGCCATAGTGTAATATAGGTCTAATCATAGATTTGTAGAGTGGCACTATGATCTCCTTGGTGTGACTAAAACTTCTCTTGATAATTCCTAATTTACTATTTGCTTTTTTTGCAGTTTGACTGATGTGTTGTTTGAATTTTAGTTCTTTGTCTATGGTGAATCCTAGGTCTTTCTGTTCTGTCACTGACTCTATCATGGTACCATCTAGGTTGTATTGTTGGTTTACGTTTTTACCACCTTAGTGTAAAACTTTACACTTTTTTTGATTGAACTTTAATTGCCAATCATTTGACCAGTTAACTAGAGTGTCAATATCTTGGT